CATAATTTTATTACAGCATATTGTTATAATTTTTCTATTTTATTATTGTTAATTTCTTACTGTACGTAATTTATAAATTAAACTTTATCGCAGATATATGAGTGGGGTTAAGGGAAGAAAAAACATCAAAGATATGAATGGAGTTTGGTACTGTCTATGGTTTGGGAATGCACTGGGGCCTTAGAACATATACTCCTCAGATAAGGGGGAACTACTGTATTTTCTTGGGCAGGAGTATGATTTGCATATAAAAAAAATCACAAACAAAAAAACACAACAACAAAGTCTTTTGAGAGACTGCTTTCAATATCAAGAGAGAAAGTGGAGAGTTGTGATGGAAAGCTATAACCAGGAGAGTCAAGAGGGGAAGCCCTACTGCACTTAACAGGAGAGAAGGTCAAGTAACCTCAGAAGATTGTTCTCTGAGGATTTGCTGGTGCAGATCAAAGATAGTGCTTTTCACTGCAAACATGTGAACCTCCCCCTTCTCTGATCAAGGATGCTGTGGTTTTGATGATATTCACTTGATAAGGGAGAGTTTGGTAGTTTCACAGAAAATCGGAAATGTTTGTAGAAACAGGTTCCCATCTATGAAAGAACCATTGGGCTGGGTGTTAAAACTGAGTCCTGAACTTAAAGATCATCACAAACCTATGAAACATCATTCCCAAACAAGATAGCGTATAGTATCTAGACTACAAATAATATGCAGAAAAGATTATCAACCAAATAAACCAAAGAAATCTATCTTGATAATGCATAACCTATTACTCCCTTTGTGAGTGAGATGAATGAGAAGACTTGAGCAAGAACAATGAGGCAATCCAAAGGATCACATTATTTTAGTGCTTCTAAGATCTTCCATAACATGCCATGTCTTAGATTTGGATTTTTAAAAATTCTTTTCACTCAAAATTTAATTCCCTACCATGGGAGTTTGTATCTTACCACTTGACCGAATATTGATGAATGGGTAGTTGGGCATCACCAGCTTGTTGAAGTTAAATTTATAGGTAAACCTTTTCCCTTTTGTTTTATGAAGGATCCTCTTGTTGTAATAGTATCTGTAAAAACAGGAATGCATGTCAATTTGTCTTGTAGCTATTGACAGCTTTCGATACACTTAAGTAGCCACTGAGGCCAACAATTCTTGCTCTAAGTATTACTTACAAAAATCACTACCAATCTTTTGTAGCCTGACCCTCCATGTAGATTTAGGAAACCTAAGAGCTTAATTTTCTCACTTAATTTTCAACCCAGCTCTAGTTTTTGCCTAGAGCTTTACAAAGACAACTTCACTTTAAGATTCTGAACACCTAGCCCCAAACACTTTCTTCTCCATCTCTCCACAATTTCAATTCTACAGTCCATTTCCTTCCGGTTGTACTGCATGCCACTAACTGCTTGGTTTCTCTTTTCTGTCTTGCCCTGGTGGGGGCAGACAAGTCACTAGCCTGATGTGGTTAGTCTGGAGGGCTAAGCTCAAAAGATAGACAAAGGAATGTAGAATTGTTTTATGGTGGCAGGTCAAACAATGGCATTCCCTGATCTGGAAAACAGCAGCTAGTGTGGCCCGCCTCACCTTCAAAGACTCAAAGGGATGTGAAAGAACACAGCAAAGCCACTGCGCAGATTTTACATGTCAGGTCACTAAGAATAAAGAAAGGCAGGAGAACCTCAATGTATCTGGAACCTTTAGTCTTACATCTATGCAGTAGCACAGACCATAAACTACCTTCTAGCCCCATTGAGGGCTAACAGGCTATGAAATTTAAGACTGACAAGGAGAAAAAAGAACCTCAGAAAACTTATAGTGATCACTCTTTAGACATGTTATAGCAGGCTATGGACTGACAACCTGAGTTCACAGACACAGTTCCTGATTAGATAGGTCGGCATCATTGAGTCTTCCTCCTGTGACTTGTTTTACCCTTTTCTAAGTTTCTTCCAGGGGATCCCAAAGAAAGAATTCTAACAGATTCTAATAGAGAAGTCTAAACTAATCCTTTGGATTATAAATGAGCTCCAATCCATGTTTCACCATATACTCTCGCCCACTATAGAGCAGAATCGGCTGTCTGTCAGCATCCAGTGCCAGCCACACTGGAATTCCCTCCTACGTATAACCAAAGATATGCCTTTTCTCCTCCTGTGCCTGTGCTACTCAGATTCAACAGCTCTTCTACTCCCACTTTAAAGTGACACATTATTCACTAAGATAGTGTAGTCTTTTATTACCCGATACCCTTTTTATCTAGCATTCACCAACCAGCTTAGTCTCCTTCTAATCTGTTAACACAGATTTGGGAATCCTTTCCCTCACCTGAGGGCCCGGCTCAGCTTGTCATAATTCATCTGTGGTTTGCATTTCCTGCGGCCCCAGAGGCGGGCCACCTCATCTGGATCCTTGATGACAAATTCTCCGTACTCTCCCTGCTGCCAGGCGATGACATGGCGGAACTCTTCCTTCTGCAGCAGCTCCAGGATGAAGTGCCACAGCTGAATCTGCCGGGAGCCTGGGGATGACTCTGTTTTGTAGGCCCAGTCAGGGAACTGATACCCTTTAAAGTGAGAAGGGCAAGATTAAGCTAGTTAAGAGCTAGGTACATACATACCAGCACCCCCAACTGCACATTCCACTGCTGAGAATCTAGAGTGCTTTGCAAACATGTCATAAGTACCCTTTCAGTCAGCTGTGCCTAACCGCAATGGGGAGAGGAAAGCACAGAGAAGTCACCTATCCTTGTGGCAATCATTAAATCTGGTAAGAGTTGGATGGCAGCAACCAGATGTCCTAATCTTACCTTTTCATACATTACTAAATCTCACACCTACTTTCTATGAGGACATGAAAGTGCTAAAGGGAACAAACAGGAAAGATAAACTAATGTTTCAGGAAAATATAGCTGAAACTCCTTTTCCCTAAGGTTGGAACTGTGTCTCTAATAGCAAAGAGACTCTAAAGCTTGGGATACGGGTATGGTGACCAGACATGTTAAATATACATCCATAGGAAACAAGCCTACAACTGTCCTGACAGTATTCATCCAGCCAAGAGGCTGTCAGTCATGGTCTGACATTTGTGAACAGAGCCCAAGTGGAGAGAACAGGAACCACTGAGGGACCTTCCAGGTACATCAGAGATGATTAACTTCTGCTCACCTCCACCTCCTTCTGGCTTTTCCACCATGCTACAGCCGGCTTTCATTTTCGCCCTCCTGCTGAGAGACACAAGCCACACAATTACTTTAAGATGCTATTTATTTAGTATCCTCCCAGAGTTTTCTGGCTGTCTTTCCCCAAACTTCCTTTTCCCTATTCTTCCTTCCTTATGCAACTCTCTCTCTTTCAAACATGTCACCTCCAAACTGCTACTCCCAAGTTATCAAATGATGGGCCTCAGGTCATCAGCTTCAAAAGCCATAATTATCTCTCACCTGACTTTAAACCACAAAGTGTAAACATTGTCTTTAATATTTGCTTTCCTCCTCCTGACCAACCCTTCAAATGTAAAAAAATAAAAATAAAAAATAAGAAAGGAAGGTACAGTGAAGTAGGTCCAAAAACGCAGCCAAAATAAGTCAGTTTGTCTTCTATTACTAGGCAAGCCCACATGCCAAGATACACAAGCCTGAGTTCACCGAGATGTACCAGTTTAAAGGGTGAAAAAAAAAAAAAAAAACAAATCCATCTGATTCCCACTCAAGAATGAACATCCGATTTTGATTTATTTTACTGAACTATGTGAGATGGGAGAAGGAAGACTCTTCCCAGTCAGAAACTGCCCCCTCCCCCTTGAAAAATACCCTGGGATACAGGAAGCAAACACACCACATGTACACTTACTCTACACAAGAAACACACACAAACACCCAAACATTTTTTTTGAGAAAAATTCTACATTTTCTCCATTGAACAGGAAGGTTGAAAAGCAGGCATTTCTGAAGCTCTTCTGGCCAGTGAGTGAAGGGAGTCTTGCTGCGATTTGAATTCATTCCATCCAGATTTACAGTTCCTCAATAAATTTCCTGCTCCTCCAGCAAGCAGCTTTGTGTCAGTCATTTAGCAAAAAGGAGGCAGGGGTGAAACTGTCAAAGGGACACAGAGGCAGGAGAGGGCAGATCTACCCTCTCTGTTCCCCAGGGTGGATGACAGGACCTTAGCATCCACATTAGCAGCAGTCTGGAGAGAATGCAGATGCCTAAGTGGCCCCCGGGTAGGGATAAATTTCCTTATCTTGGAAATTTCACCTAACCTAGGATTCCTCTAGATCTTTTGAATATTTTTTCTCACCAATCACATTAAGGAGACCAGCAAGTGTCAGTCTTCAAAACTACTAGCAGCCGAGGACAAGATAAGTACCCCAAAGGAAGGAGAAGACAGACACAGAACGATCACACACACACACACACACACACACACACACACACACACGAGATATACAATAACAAGGCAGGCACCGGGGGCAAATACCCCAAAGGAAAGAAAAGACAGCCACGGAACACACACGCAGACACACACGAGATATACAATAACAAGGCATGGGGCTGAGGCTGACAGACAAACGCGCGCACACACACACATGAGATATATAATAACGAGGCACCGGGCTGAGGCAGGAGCTTCCTTTCCCATTTTAGTGACAATGAGGGAGGAAAAACACGAATTTCCCCCACTGCTCCAGGAAGCTACCCTGGACTCTTAACTCCATTCTAATGCGCTGTCGGATCGCGAGGTCTTTTATACTGGCCATAAAACTCCCTCCAACCATCATGGATGGGGTTCAAATCCCGTTGCAACGATGACCTGACAAGGAAGCCCTCTCTGGACACTCCAGCTCTCCAATGTTCCCTATAAAAGTCCCTTTCTCAGGAGCCCTGAGGCGCCTCTGCACGCCTTTCGCATATTCACTGCAAGGACACTTCATCCAAGTAGGGCCACTCGTCTCAACTCTGCAAACCTCCTTCCTCTGATCGCGACCACTCCCCGAAGAGTGAGGCATGCATAGTCTGGCGCTGCAGATTTCCCGTAGCAGCTCAGGGTTCTGGATTCCACAGCTCCCAGAATCTTCTTACCATTCACCTCCCGGGCCGGGCTTCCCTTAACCCGTGGCCTCAGGGCTGCGCGGGGCCACCACAGGAACGCTGCCCTGGGTCCCTGTCGCCCCTCAGACAGACACGGGTTCCCACCCTCCCCCGCCCCCCGCACTAGGTGAGGCCCGGCAGGTTACGCGGCCCGGCGGCCCGCCACGATTCCAGGGGCGCCGTCCCCGCCGGGGTCCCGGATCCGACCCAGAGGGCCCGGTAGCCGCGGCGAGGCCGGACTCACCTCTCCCCTGCACGGTCCGTCTTCGCTCCGGTCTCCTCCGCGGCGTCTCCGGCTCCTCCTCATCCACCCCAGCAGGAAGTGACCTCCTCGGCTGCTTTCGTCACTTCCATCCTCAGCAGAGAGGGCGGGGAGGAGGAGGCGCCCTCTCGCCGGTTCCCAGCCTCACCTCGCCGCACCCAGCCGCGTCTCCCTTTCCTTTCTCCTTTCAGCAGACGCCGACTTCCGCCCGCACTCCGCCCCCTGCGCGCTCCTCCCGCCGCGCATCCCGCGCATCCGCCCCGTCACGGCCCGTGCGTCACGCTGCGGGGGCACGTTACGCACGCTCGTGGTTGGCTGCCGGCCCGGCCCGCGGCAGGGCCAGGGTAGTCCTGACGTTGAGAGGTGACGCGGCGCGAGGGGGCGCCGGGCTGCAACACGCTTCCCCAGCCAGGCCCCCGCGGTGAGGCCGAATGGACTTTACCGGGCTAGGCGCAGCCTCGGGGTCCCACCTGCCGGGGGAGGGAACTTCGCAGACCCCACAGGAAGGCCCAGGCGCCCGGGAACGGTCTCTCCCACACCACAGAGAGGCGGCCCCTCTTTCTCCAGAAGAAGGCCTTGCGACCTCCCAGAGAGGGGATCCCTCACAATGGGAAGACGGGACCCGCAGACTTCAGATGCACTTCCCTACCCTCTAAGAAAGGGCCCTTTCATATACGTAAGAAAGAAACCGCAAAGCTTTCTCTGAAGCACGTCGCTTTGTCATTATCTTCCTGGGAAGACGGGAGTATGACCGCTTCCCTGCTAGTTCCCAGCCCACTGCATTTAGTCTTAGTTCGTCCCAGTCTAAGCAGCTTGCAAGTCCCCTCCCAAAGTCATTAACACCCATGTCCCCTTTTTCTTTTACCTTTTGTTCCTGCTCGGGCAATGACAAATATATGCCCAAAGCATGTTTTCTTTTCTTTCTTTCTTTTTTTAATGGAGTCTCACTCTGTCGCCCAGGCTGGAGTGCAAGTGGCGCCATCTCGGCTCGCTGCAACATCCGCCTTCCGGGTTCAAGCGATTATCCTGCCGCCTCCCGAATAGCTGAGACTACAGGCGCCCGCCACCACGCCCTGCTAATTTTTTGTGTTTTTAGTACAGACGAGGGTTCACCGTGTTAGCCAGGATGATCTCGATCTCTGACTTCATGATCCGCCTGCCTCCGGCCTTCCAAAGTGCTCGGGTTATGGGAGTGAGCCTCCGTGCCTGCCCGGCCTCTTTTTCTTCCTTTAAAGGCTCATTAAGGATAAAGAATCTCAAGCGGTTAAGCTTTATCTCCAGTCCCACTCCCGTAAATCTGAGTGGTGTCCAGGCATAGTTTCACTCCAGAGGCAGAAGAAAGGGAGGAGTGGGGATCAGTAAAGGTTAAAGAATTTAAAATAATTACGAGGGTGGGGGAGGTGAAGAAGAGAGATGAGGTTGAAGGAAAATTGAAGATCAGTTTTGATCAAATGGATCAAAACTTTGTACCACTGCTCTGATAAGACCATTGCATCGTGTTAGCCACAGGGAACTCGGAAATACTAGTTGTTATAAAAGTCGCTTCCAGTTTTGAATATGCTACTAGTCATTGTCTAACTCTTTATAAATTAACCAGTAACTTGGCTCCCTCTGGACTAACATTGTTAGATCTTTTCTAGTTTAGAAATTCCGACATGTAGGTGAACAAAATAAGGAGCAGAACTTAAACATCACAGAGTCGGTTACCGATTTATCTAGTCCATTAGCTCTTTGTAGGAACTGTCTCTATATTCTTTGCCTCTTCTGTATAGTACCTAGAACAGCATCTTACATGTAGATGCCAGATGTTTGTTACAACATTCCTTTAAAATATTGGGGTTTAGCTAAATGAAGTCCTTGTCTCTTCATGTGCTAGCTTGGTGACCTTAATTAAGTGACTTAACTTCTTTGTGTCAGTTCCTCATCTATGTGAACATGATACCTATAGTATCTACTCATGTGATTGTTGTTATTAGCTGTGTTAATATATGTAGAGTGGTTAGAGCAGAGAATGGCATATTTTAAGTATGGCAGATGAAAAACGTTGGCAAAGATAATAAGAATTATGAGAATCCTCAATTTCTCATACTACCCATGCAAATCTTAGTAATTGTTACAACTCAGAAACCAGGGTGATTGGGAATGAGCATTTTTTTTCTGAAAGTCTGAAATTGCTCATCTTTGGCTCATAGCTCAAATGGCTATGGTTAGAGCCAGCCAGGTTGACTCCAAGGATCCTGTGCCCTACAAAGGACCAGAAGTGAGAGCATAGGGACCCTTTCTGCCATAGTTTTACTCAAGCCAGACTCCTAGGGTTCTCTGCTGCTGCTTCTCTGACTAATTAAGGTCACAAAGAATGTCTGGAGTAAACACAATTAACAGAGATAAACAAGTCTCTTTACCTGGCTGGAGTCTAAATAGATATATTGAGAAATGTTTATATTCCAGCAGAACTCAACAGTTTTTACATTAAGAACCCAATCACAGGCCTGAGACTCAAAGAGATGAATTTGGGTTTGATGAAGCAAACTGGAAATTCCCTAGTAATTAGTGGGTGTGAATAAATGAGTTGTGGCTGGGATCCTCTCGTGTGGTGGTAGGATCTGGGGACATTTGGATGGCTAGGGACTTCTGGCCCAGCATACCCAAGGTCCCTATCCACTGTTTCCTTCACCATGGCACTGCTGCCTTCCCCATCTGCTGCAAACAGGTTTTCATAACATGGAGATTCTTCGTGTTCCTGAAATAGGGAGAGCATGAGCTTTCTGAAAGCGTGGGGGTGGAAACACTTAGACACTTTGCTTAAGCTTCAAGACAGGTTGTACTCTCTCTTGAATTTCCACTTGCTCAAAGCTGTCTCTGTCCACTTACATTACCTTCCTACCTGCTTCCCACCCATCTTGGTAATTGTTCCGTATGTCTAGGATAAGTTTCTGTTCCAGACCTCAAGCTCTCAATTCCACTGTCACCACAACACAGCCATTTCACTGCTTCTTAAATTAAAAAAGAGAAAGCAAATAATTCCTAGAATTATTTTTCTTTGGAAAAACCTTTCTGGATTGGTGAGTATGAATGTGTGTGTTTTTTCCCTGGCTTGTGCTTCTTTATTGCTCCCGTTTTCATTTATATTCGCCACACCCTGAACTAACCTGAACATGTATGTGATGTAAATGGTTTCCTCTCTATTCTTGTAGTAGATGACTGTCTTATTCTAGCATCCGTATGTCATAGAAGTATTTGTTCTTCCTAGTGTGTTTGTCTTAGATTGTAGGCCCTCAGGGGTTACAGCCACAGTCAGTAGGTCCCCACACTGCCCAGAGCAGTTTCATGTCATCATTTGGGATGTCTAATGATGACAGTTTCCTTCCCTGCTATCATGTGCTGATGTGCTTCTGCCTTCTCCCTCAGTCTCCACCTAAGTCTCCCAGTAAAAGGCTGGTGCCCTTTCCCCCAGTTTGTTTTCAGTAAACTTGAATTCAGAAGACCTGAGTTTTAGTCCCAGTTCTGTCCTTTGCTAACTCTGTTCTCTGACAAGCCACTGACGTCTGAGATTCAGCCTTCTCATCTCTAAAAGGGGACGCTATTAATGTCCCTGAGAAGGACAGAATGTAATAGCAGCTGTGGAGTGCTTGTAAACTCTGAAAGCCTTTACAAAGCTCAAGGATGGTAACTCTTGCTGCCATCCCAGACCTCGCACTGTTGTTAGTATCAACAACTCAAACTTTACAGCAGTTTCCACCTAATTTCGCAAACTTTGAGTGGGGATTTAATGTTTCAGATTTGGATAGCAATCGAATTCTCAGGACAAATTATTTTTTAGAACTTAGGTTCTGGGGTTTCTTATCTAGGCACTGTTTTATGAGTCCTAGCTTGAGGCGTTACATTGTAATCACTTTGTGCTTCAGTTTCCCCATCCAGAAAATCCATAATAAGGATTTCCAGAAGGAAAAACAGTATAACGTTAAAACATTATTGATGAAGTAAAAGAGTGAAGGGAAAATATACGATTGATTTATTTTCACCCTTTGTGACTCAGTTTCCCCTTCAGTAAAGTGAAGGTAAATTCTTATAGGAAAGAAAACTTCATTATTTGCATTTTACCGCATTGAACTCCACTAACTCATAAGATCTTGTGTTTTGGTTTACTTTTCCCATCAACTCAAGGTTGTTGTGAGGATAGAGGAATTCATGTCAGTAACATGATCGGGGATCCCCAGACTAAAGGTTAAATGAGTCCAAAGCAGAAGTAACTTTGCCCAAAGTTACAGCTCAACCAGGAGCAGAGAGCCTGGATGTTTATTTAGCAGTGACTTCGGGACTCAAGGACTCTCCCCAATTCCACGTCCATCATAGTCCACAAATACCCCTTCCTCTCATTTCCCTTTTTCAGGTGTTGGTTCCCCTCTCTTAAATCAGTGTAGGGGAAAGGGTAGTGAGAGATCACGAAGGAACAGAATGGGAGACAGGATTAACATGAGGAAATGACCATTTAAACTATTTTGCTGACACCCCCCCTTCCCGCTGGCAGCCCAGGAGAAAGATTCCCCTGACCAGATATGACTGCCAGAATCTGTGTATTTCTGCAGCCTAGCTTATTCCAGGAAGCTCGCTAATTGGAGCAGAGAGCTAGCTTCTTCTGGTCTTAACCTATCTAGGGTGTGTTTTCCAAGGTTTGGCATTTGTTCCTCACACTTATAATACCAGAAACCTTGACCTGTTTACCACATAAACCTTTTTGCTTTCTTTTGTATTTATTTACTGTTCATATCCGCTCTCACTGTGTTCTCTTTATGATTGTCCATACCATTTGTCATCCTAAGAGGGCAGAGGCTGTGTCTATCAGTATCTAGTGACCAATAAAAGTAATTACTACAATAGAGACATAGGGATCATAGTCTAACAAATGCCAGTAATGGTTGTAGTGAACAATGGAGTGAGGTTTCAAATCAAGCTAATTAAAAGACTGTCACTTTAAGAACATTTTAGATGACCTTTGCTTTCATAATTACCCATGCATTTATGGACTCGTAGAATCTTAGAGATGGAGTGAATGTCAGCGGTCGTCTATCTCATCCTCTCATGCAGTTGTCACCAGCCTCTCCTCAAAGCCTCATGATGATGTCATTACTTTGTCCAGCAAACTAGTCCATGTTTTTCATCATAAAATATATCTACAAAGAGTATATAAAAATGTGTATGGATCAGTTGAAGGAAAATAATAAAACACTTAAGTACCTGCCACTTAGGCAAATAATCGAATTTACCATGGCCCAGAAGTCTTTTGCCTCTCCTGGATTTCATCCAAGTTCAATGCTTATATCACCCTAATTTGTAGAAAGTTCTTTCTTATATGGAGCTGAAATGTCTTCCATGGACTCTGCACATGACTCCTGCTGAGGTGCTGTGATTAAATTTAGTGTAATTACATTTAATGTTTCTTCCATGTGACAGCCATCAACTATTTGAAGACAAGTATTATGCCAGAGTTGCCATAAGAAACATCCTCATTCTTAGTTCCTTTCCTCTTACAGTGTGGCTTCCATAACCAAACACAGTCCTCCACAGACCCAGCCTGACTAGCAAAGTATAGAGTGAAACTCTTCCCTCCTTGATCCGGATACTTTTTTTTTTTTTTAAGATAGCCTTGGATAGGATTGACTGTTTCAGAGATTATAGTACACTGCTGAGTTTATAGTCAAACTCCTGATGGCTTTCTTATAAGGACTGTTAACCCAGGTCTCTTCTGTTAAGTAGTATATAAACCTAAATGCCAGACATTTTACATCAATTACATTAATTCCAGTCAATTTTATTTTGTTAGTTTTATCTGTTATTCATTCCAGTCTGTCTATATCATCTTAATTTATTAGAATGTGTGATTGTATAACTTGATAGACTACTTGGAGCAAGCATGAAAACAACTTCTGTGGAATACATTAAAACACCAATGTTAAATTATCCTAAATGGAATCAAATATTTTCAGAATGGTTCCGAAGTCACTGCAGGATCGTGCAGTGTCTCATGAATTATTGTGCCTTTGATCTGTGGGATGCCAGTCACTAGTGTTGCAGGTAATGAGATTCCATATAGCAGAGTGCTTAGTGCGTGAAACTCTGGCAGAGAGTTAGAGCCACTGTGGAAAGCAGAGAACATCAAAGTAAGCTAGTCATTATGTTGGCAGCGGGGGGGGGGGGTGGGGTGGGGGGAGTTCATGTACAGTAGTTGGAAATCATAAGGAACCCGGCATCTATCATATTTTGGCATCAGTTCAGAAGGCGGAACTTCTAGATACATGTATTGCCAGGATATATTTCTCTCAACAATAGATTATTGTAATGGGCTTGGCTAAGGTGCTTGCAATGATGCGTGAGGACCAGGTTCACTGGCACAATATTTAGAAACTCACCATCATTATAGCAACAGGTCTCGATTTCGTAGCAAAAATCTGGGGTGCCAATACTTTTAAGGAAAGAAGAAAAACTGAAAACTTGTGAGGAAAACACCCTAGCAGGCACCTCCTTCTCCTGGCACTTAGGAAAGCACCTGGGGCACAGAGAACAGGCCTTGCAGAAGCACAGACACACACAAGTGCCATCTTGTCCAGCTTCTCCATTATGCAGATGTTGGTTGCAGACCAAGTCTTCTCCTGCCCCTGCATGCCAGTCTGGTCCACAACAGGGCTAGTTTCTCTTAAGTTCCTTGTGGAAACTGTTTTGCCCTGAGACTGCCCCCGAAGCCCTGAAACACAAATTTAACCTGAATGTTCTAATTAAACCTCATTAATTGAACTGTGTGTGGGAGGCATGGGTCCCTTGGGTCTGAAACAGGGCTAGCGAAGACAACTCTCAGTTACACAGTTTGTCTTACTAAGGTGGCAAAATACACTGCCACTGGGAACCCAGTTACTTGCAGTAACTGATTTTTTGCCTCCCCAACTTCTCATTTACTCCGTGTAATTCGCACCTTACCTGCCTGTGTCCTCTCAACTTGATGCAGAGAGATAGAAGTAGGAGTTCAACGCAAATCATGAGAATCTCTAACATTAGGAGGGTAGTCAGAATTTGGGGAACAACCAAATCAGTTACTTGACTTCACAACCAGTGACACTCAGTAGGCTCTTGGTTCTTCCCTATTCTGTAGAACATGGAATGTCAGATATGTGGGGTTTTGTGGAGCAAAAGTGACTCATACTAGAATCCAACAGTGCTTCGTGTGGATTTGTGATTTGCTTCCTGCAATTCCACAGAATCAAAATCAAATACCATTTCAAACAGTTCAATCTTATAGTTATTCACGTATCTTTATTTCTCAGTTGAAATTGCTCTGAGCATAAGAGAGTGTTATAGGTCTATTGGCCAGGTTCACCAAGATCATTCTTCCTTTTCTGTTTTGTTTTAGAGACAGGCTCTCATTCGGTTGCCAAGGCTGGAGTTCAGTGGCAAGATCTCAGCTCACTGCAGCCTTGGGATCCTGGGCTCAAGCCATCTTCTGACCTCAGTCTTCTGAGTAGTTGGGACTACAGGTATGCATCACCACACCTGGAGATATATATATATATATATATATATATATATATATATATATTGTAGAAATGAGATCTCAGGCTGGTCTTAAACTTCTGGGCTCAAACAGTCCCCCCTCCTTGGCATCCTAAAGTTTTGGGATTATAGGAGTGAGCCACTGTGCCCAGCCAAGATTATTCTTTGTTAGAATATAAATGGCTTGGTGATATAAATACTTGCTGACACACCACCTTTGCAAGTACCAACAGAACAGAAGGGATGCCCAGTTCTGAAAGATGTTTTTCTAGAAAATGTAGTAATTCCTTAGATTTGTATAATATTTTTCAAAGCATTTAAAAACATTTTAATGATTAATTCATCCATTATTTATTCATTCCACAAAAATTCATACAGAAGCTACTGTGTGCCATTCACTATGCCAGATTTTGGGAAGACAAAGCTTACAGAATTTGGTCTCCTCTTATTGTAATAGCAGTTCTATTAGCAATACTCCCTGCAATCTCTTAAAGGTGTGAATGATAGTTTTAAATGAAGTTAAATATTGAAGGTGTTCATATGTTATGCAAGCCAAATCATATGAACAGAGTAAACATGTGAACCAAGTTTAATGTAATCAAATATAACACAAACAGGTTCATCTAGTTCATTAAATTCTATTTGTGTATTCCTTCAACAGATATTGGTTGAGAAGCTACTATGAGCCAGGCACAGTGCTTTGCTGGGAGTATACAAATGGTTGAAACATTGGTCTCTGCTTCAAAGAGCTAATGGGAAAGGTAAACACATAAGCAGACAACTATGACCCAATGTGGAAGCAGAGTTCAATGGTTTAGTAACCCACCCAGTGGTCATTCCCTGCCCTTTCTGGCTTCCGGAGTCCTCTTCCCATTATAAAAGTGAGAATGCTTTTCTAACTTTCCTTGTAACCAGCAAAAGGGCAGGTTACCAAATTCTGGTCAGTCTACTGGAAGGATTTTAGGAAAGATTTTTCACCTGAAAACAGAGAGGAACTCCTAATCCTGAGTCTCCTGTTTTGGGCTGAATCATGTTCTCTTAGAATTCATTTATTCAAGTCCTAACTCCTGGGACCTCAGAATGTGACTGTATTTGGAGATACGGTCTTTAAAGAGGTAATTAGGTTAAAATAAGGCCATTAGGGTGGAACCTAATCCAGTATGACTAGTGTTCTTGTAGGAAGAGGGCATTAGAACATGGACATTCAACAGAAGGAAGACATGTGAGGACACAGCAAGAGGCCGTCTATAAGCCAAGGAAAGAGACGTCTGAAGGAGCCAATCCTGCCAACACTTTGATCTTGGACTTCTAACCTCCAGAATTGTGAGAAAATAAAATTTCTCTTGCTTAAGTTATCCACTCTATGGTACTTCGATATGGCAGCTTTAACAAGCAAATACACCTTTCCTGGTTTTAAATGTTGTCACGTGAGTTTGGAATGGCTGCAGCCATCCTGCAGAAGGGCCTAGAGAATTGCACAGAAGCTTAGAACCCGGATATCACGAAGGCAACCCTGGAATCATCTACTTTCCGACTTCTTGTGAAGCGATAATAAGTCACTATTGTCTCAGTTGCTTTAGGTGTGGGAGTTCTGTTACTCACAACCACAAGCATCCTCACTGATACAAGCAAGGATAGAGACATTGTGGTATTGCAGGGACACCAAGAAGAGGCGTCTAGATGACAGTAAGCTTGGATCTTTAAAGACGTGCAGCAATTAATCAAAGGATGGGACAAAGGGCATTTCAGGTGGAGAGGATAATAACAAGAGCAGAGAATACCAGATATGTGAGGGAAACTTAGTTACAAGCCTTTGTAACCTTTGGGTGCTGTAGGGAACTCAAGTGTGGAGCTGAGAGTGGCAAGACATGAGGCTGCGGAGGTTGGCAGGAATTGGATAATGGAGTGAGACCTCGGTTGCTGCTAAAGAGCTGTGACTTTGCCCCTACTGGCTTGATCCGAATTATGTGAATGGAAGATAGATTTAAGGGCTCAAAATTAGAGGCAGGATTCAAACCAGAAATTTTATGAACATTTAGGAGAGAGAGGAGGGAACAGAATCAAGGCAGTAGAATAGAGAGAGAGGAATGACTGATACTAAAAAATTCACAAGGCATATTTTGAAGATATTGCATATCAACATTATTGTGCTGTATGGAAAATGAGGTATAAAAGGTAAAGGACTATAATTTATAATGTAGCTGAGAACAGAAAGTTGAACTTTATCCTGAATGTTGAACTATTTTTATAATTTTTAATGAAAACTTTATTAAAAAAATGTACTATCCACTTCCCTGTTTTCTTCCGCAGAGTTTACTAGATGCAAACTAACATTTTCTTGATGACTCATGGTCATCATGAAAAAAGGAGGCATGACGGTATACAGGAAAGGCAAAATCATGGTATAGAGGAAAAGATTTTGTGTTAGACATCATGTAATCTGGGTTTAGTTCCAGCTCCACCACTAGCTAATCTGCACAGTCACATAAAAGTCACTAAGCCTCTCTGAGTATTTGTTTCATCCTTGGCTGCCCGTTTCACTGTGTGGGAAAGGGCTTGCTAAAGCACCAGGCACCATCCAGTGAAATGTTAGGATACTTTTTCTAAGATGAAGTGACATGTATTACAATGCTTGTCTACTCCTAAGTCCTATTGTCTTTTGCTCCCAAAGCAAATCTTTGAGGTTGTTTGGTGTTCCTTTGCTCTCAAAATGCTTCCTTCTCTAGAAGGCCTTTCACTCACACCCCACCTTGGTCTTCAAGGGCCATGGGCTAGGAAGCCAGAGGTCAAAAATCTTAAATATTTTCTCCAATGTAACCCACTAAAGCTCCCTGTGTAGGCCTAAGGACCTGGCTTTGGTTCAATTCATGTCAGTTATTTTTGGTGCTTAAAGGCCTTTTTCACTTCCAGATTTGGTGCTGCATTCCACAGAATTGAGGTTGTCAGAGCTTAACTTACAGTTAAGCGGGTGTAACTACGGTGCTTTTATTATTGCCAGATGAACTGTTCAGTTTTCATTCTTCCTGCTGAATTAGTTCTCTTTTATCTCTCTGTAACCAGATTTCTATGATATCATGGACAGATCTATCCTCACCACCACCCACACACCGTGACATAAATTAAGACAAAAATCTTGACCATAAGTTTTCAACAGAGATTTCTTGCATTCCCTCTTTTAAGGATTTAGGGTCCCTGAGTTTCCTCCTTCCTTCCCCTGCAATCTAAAGAAGTCCTTGACAGCATTTTGAGGGGCTTCCAGCCCCCCAACACTGTTTGTAGGGAGCCTAGGATATAAGGCCCAGGCATAAGCACATGAGTAGTTCATTTAAATCACAGTAGATAATTACATGAGAAGATGTGTAGCATCATGCTTAAAGCCTAGACTTTTGAATTGGACCACTTGAGCTTGGGTGTGTTGCATATCTCTCTGGGTCTCAGTTTCCTCTTTTGTAAAATAAGAGTAATAGTTTCTGGCAAGGAGTAAATGTAATAACACATATAAAGCCCTTAGCACAGACTCTGGTGCAAAGTAAGTGCCCCTTAAATGGAAGGTGACCATATTGGTTACAGAAACCAGTCATGGGAGATAGTACAGCTTACAGGAGAAGGATCTGGATTCCTTTGGGCAAAAGGAGAAGACAGAAGTTGTTTGAAGATGGGGAGTAGAGGATCTCAGAAGAGGGTTAGGTGTTTGGTAGAATGGGTTCCAGACAGTGGGCTGGATTTTGGATTATCCACTGAGGACAATTTCTGGGTTCTGACCAGGCCAAGCTAGATCTGGGATGTAGAAAGGGGAGATAGCTGGGAGACTGAGGTGTTAATACCTTCTTTAGGGACTTCAGCCAAGTCTGAAAGTTCAACCATCACATCAAGAAACTCTTCATTATCCCGGGTGTCTTCATTTTTCCCTCACACATCTTTCCTTGTGAGCCCCATCAAGTCACCCTGTGTGGTGGGTTAAAAGGGGGCCATAAACTACTTGACAGGCCTCCCTTGAGAGGTGGGATATATATCCCCTTCTCCTGAATTTTGGCTGGCCCCTGACTGCTTTGTCCAGCAGAATACAGCAGAAGTGACACTGTCTGAGTTCTAGGCCTAGTCTTTAAGTGGATTTGCAACTCCCACCTTGCTGTTTTTTAACTCTCTTGAGCTGCTGTCTAAGAAGTTTGATCTCCCTACTAGAGAAACAGACCCTGAGGCTACATGAAAAGGGAGAAGTACCCAGATGAGTTCAGCCTTCTTGCCACTTTAGGCAAGGTGGAAAACATATAAGCAAAGCCATCTTGGACTGTCCAGCCTAGCTGAGCTACCAGCTGAATGCCACTGGGTTAGTCCAGTCAATGCCTTGTGAGCAGAAGAATCATCCATCTGAGCCCTGTCCAAATTCCTGACCTACAAAATTGTAATTTATAATAAACTGGTTTCTGTTTTAGGCAGCTAAATTTGGGGGTAGTTTATTATATAGCTATAGATAACAGAGCAAAATGACCAAGTAAGGTTTATTTACAGTTTCTTGAGTGGGTACAAGCAAACTTCAGGGATAAAAAGAGCTCCCCATGATTCCTTCAAAATATTCTCTGAGATAATTATTAGAATGAGGAGTAAAATGAATCACATCATTGATACTGATTAAATGCTCAATATTCAGTTGACCTGGGAAAGGCAGTTGACTAAAAGTCACCTCACTCCTGTAAAAATGGAGTCTACCATTCAAATTATTTCATGTTTAAATGAAAAAATTTAGAAAAATACTTGAGAGCGGAGGCCCTCCCCTCTCCTCCCACTGAATAATGGAAGAGGGTAGAAGGGATCTGGGCTAAAAGAATTGGAAAGAGGACTGCTGAACAGTTTCCAGAACTTGACAGTTTTGCTTAGAACCAGCTCCATTTCCTTCACTCATAAGTGGAAAAATAATAGGATCTCTGCCCCAGGTATCTTGGAGTGACCAGCCATATACACAGTCTGGGTTAAGTGGCACTATCTTCAAAACTCAGAACTAAATTCAGAAAAGCTGAATTTGGAGAAGTTCCTTGCTCAGGAGCTGGAATTCAGATGCTAGCTGTCCTGGCTCTTTTTCTGAGGGATTTTTCTACTACATTGTGTTTCCTTTGCCCATGTTGCCGAGGACAGAAGTATTTATGAGGAGTGATTACCCTGCAGTTCTCTGGAACTCCATTTCTTAGAATTTCAACCTTCTTCTCAGAGTGGTAACCGTCTGTCATTTTGAGAAGGTGAGAAAGAGCAGGTATGTTCTATTATCTTCGATGAAGATGGAAGTTGAGCATGGAGATGTAGGCTTGAACACAGTTCATGCTTTGGAGAGAGGCATTCTGATGTGGTGGGCAGAATTTCAAAAGGTTCAGGTCGGGCCTCAGGTATTTACCTTCTAGATGGAGATGTCTGGCCTCAGGCATTTACCTTCTAGATGGAGATATGGCCTCCTCTCCCTCTAAGCAAGACCTGAGCAACTGCAATATAATGCTGCTCCAGAATCAAAGAGAGATGGGGTAGAGAAGGCACTAGCTAAAGGTGACCTTGTGGAGGAGGTGTTAGGCATGAGCTGGGAAGGAGGAGTGAGGGACGATATTCTAGGAGCAAATGCTTTGTGTAAAGTTTCAGAAGCAGAGACAAGCAATGTTCATGTTCAAGACATGATAAGAAAATTGCCTGAGATAGAGCACAGGCCCTCGCTGAGGAGGCAGGAGGGGTATGATTAGGAAATTAGAGGGAGGGAAAGAGTTATTAGTAGTGAAGGGAGGCCTGTGCTCTTAGGGCCTGCTTGTTTCTATGGATCTGGATCTCTGGACCTCCAGTATGAGTCTTTTGGTCTCGAGACTAAGCTTCCAGCTCTTCGCAGTTCCATTTACATTCCCAACTCGCATCTGTATCTCCTGTCTCAGCAGTGATCACTGTAGCACTCATAGTAGCCACCATTTTTGGAATGCTAGACACTGCACAAAGCTCTTTCCCTGCATTTCTCTTTTGACCCTCTTGGAAGCACTGAAAGGGAGCCTGCACTTTATAGATGAGGAATCGGTGAGACAGACAGAGCTGGGAGCAGGTTGAGAGAGGTTTGGTAACTTGCCCCATGAATCCCTCATCACTCGTAAATGGCAGAGAGCCAGGAAGGAGCCCAGGCTGTTCAATATCAGGCTGTGTTTTCATTGTAATCTGTGTGGGCTTTGGCTTTGTGAATGTATGCAGGGCCAGCTACATAATGTGTGGGGCCTAGTGCAAAATAAAAATCTGGTGTCCCTTGTTCAAAACTTACTAGGAATTTCAAGATGAAGACAGGAAACACAGGTCTGCATGCGGGGCCTTGTACAACTGTATGGGTTGCCAGCACATAAGGCTG